GAATCTTCAGGGACTCCACAAGGTCTTACAGAATAAAGACAAATTCCCTAAGCCCAGTTGTGAAGGAGGGATTCTTAGCTCCCTCTAAGAATGTTGGATTTGGCATCATGTACAAGTCACAACTTGAACATTACTTCTGGAAGGAATAAGGAAGTCCTGTGTCTGACCCAGCCTGGCCCTTTGACCTATACAAGTCACTTATAATCTCTCCGTGCCTTGGGTAAATCAGGTTGCAGAGAAGTTGGCAGAGAGGGTTACTTACTGGGAACTTCTTACACTAATGAACCGAAGGTACAATCCAAAAAAAAGGTGCTGCAGATAATATTTACTAAACAACCAAAAAAGTGAAATTGGCTTTTATCACATCAGATAGGAAATGACTGGTTACTGATGAAGTCCTGCCTGCTGTTGAACTGTTGACTAGTTAAAGCAAAGGCCAAAATCAACAGTGAACTTTTAAAAAAGAACAGAAGTGAGAAGATGTTCACTGTATAATGATGACTTCAGTCTATTTAAATAAACTATTGATACTGAAAAGTAGGAAATGGATAAAGGAAAAGAGTTTGACTCTGTTTCATCCCTTGTTTCCATTTCTACCAAGTAGGAGTTAGTGGAAGCATTCCCTATCCCTGGGAACATCTTCCCCATAAACCTGTTTGAGGAGCACATTGTGCTGATTGCATTCAGACCCAAAATACTCAGTTGAGATTCACGATAACACAAAAAAATAGACAAAATAACCTATCCAGGAACAATCAATAACTATAGAATTCCTATTGCCTATACGATGATTTACCCTTGGCTGAGCAGCCCACGAGTGGGGAACCCATGGCCTCAAGGCCTCATGTGGCCCTCTAGGTCCTCAAGTGCAGTACTTTGACTGAATCCAAAGTTCATAGAACAAATCCACCTAATAAAAGGATTTGTTTTGTAAAACTTGGACTTAGTCAAAAGGCCGCACCCAAGGACCTAGAAGGCCACAGGTGGCCTCAAGGCTACAAGTTCCCCACCCCTAATAGCCCATTAGAACATATTATATCTAGGTACTGATAGGCCGAGAATTGAACAGGAGTATAAGAGAGTAAGCTGCGTGGTGTGCGGTACTTTCAGTAATTTCCAAGCTGCTCTAAACACAAAGAAAACCCTTTAATTCTCTTGTTGATGCTTCTTGGCTGGCAATTATGGAGTATCACTGTCTCCAAAGAATCAAAATTACAGGAAGGCCAAAGAGCAGTGGAAGTACACAGTGGGGGTAGATAGGTTATAGCTTGTTACCAATGATGACAGGCACTCGAGACATAGTGTACAAGATACCATGCAACAAATGTATGGTTAGAAAAAGATGGGCCAGGAGAGCAAGGGATAACATGCTATTTCAGTGTTGCATTAGAACCCACAGTGTTTAAAACATCGAGGCTTCCAACACGTTGAGTAAATCATCTTTGGAGGACTTGATTTGAGGAAGAATTGAATAGAATGGGAAAGCATGGATGTGTTGTGATCTGTACCTACATCAGTGAGATAACAAATCCACTGAAATAGGAAGGACATAATGGCCTCACAGAGAAGGAAGAATGTAAAGGATGGTCTGGATTAAACCTCTTTCTAAAGAAGCAGAGGTGGATATGAGAAGGAGATAGTATAACTTTAAAAAAGTATTACTTTCTAATATCTAAGATTTGGTTAGAAATTTTAAGGGATCTTTAATAAATTAGACAAGACTTTAAGAACAAAACATAGAATTGTCTCAAAAGCCAAAGTTGGGTGTTTGGTTCAAACATATTACTTTGTCAGGGTATCCGCAGCACCATATCATTTAGCCAAGGGTGAGGCCCAGAGAGCACAAATGATTTTACTACAATGGCACATGAAGAGTAAGTGCAGGTTCTAGGATTTGAACCTAGATTCCTGAGCTTTTTCTACTGGACCACCCTGGCTCGTTACTTAAATTCTTGTCTTCAAGTCACATTTAGGTAGTGCATAAGTGAGCTGGAGTTCGTGACGGGATTCAATTTTTAAGTGGTATGTGGGTGTATGCTTTGAAGTTTTGACAACCCTATAAACCTAGTTTACTACTACTGAGGATTACTCTTCCCATTTATGGATTTTCTGTCCCTCTTGATTTGTTACAGGGGTTGGTTTTTTGGCATATCCATTCAAAGAGGTGGGAAGAGAATGAAAATGTTTCATGTTCCCTGTTTGCAGTATCTATTGCTGTGGATACCTGAAAGTTCACTTTTGGATATCATCATTATGCATTTTTTTCTAAGAGTTTAAATATTACCCATTTTATGCAAAATGCTGCTAGCACAATTTAATAAGTACACAGTTACCAGTTACTTTCAAAGTGTGGCAGTCAGGTGTTTATAATTTCAAAAAAAATTTTAGGGAGTTTTATGTTTGAGATATAAATATATAAACCATACAGGTCCAAGTATACTAAAGAACACAGGAAATGTTTTATAAGGGGGTGGAACAAAATGGAATATAATTTTTGTTGGTGTGATAAAGGAACAGCTATTAGGAAAAAAAGTATTAACAATAAATGAATAAATGAATCCCACTTACCACACTGAAATGTTTCTGACAGTACTGCATAATTTATCATCATCGTCAATTCATCAACTTTACATGTCAAAAGTATTTGCATTTTAATTTTAACAAATAAATGACAGTTTTAGTGAAATTTTTGTTAACGACCACCCTGTTGTAGAAAATACCTATATTAGTATGTAGTGTAGTGCAGTGGAAGCTTTTAGATCCAAAGAAATCAGAAAAAAATATGTGAAATCTTTCAAATTGGTTAGAATTATTGTAAAGAGAAAAAGGAATAGGGAAGTACTTCAAATGAAAAGTCAAAATATTTGGTTTGTTACTTTTTATTTAGTTTCATGTAAGGCAGATCTATGGAAATGACATAAAAGCACTACTTTTAATTTGATATCCCTATTTAGAGAGATGACAAGAGGAACGGGCTAATGTCATGTACATAGTTACATACAGAAGAAATAAGTAATACATCCATGGTAGACAAACTGCCCAGCGTCAGACTACATGAGGCAAGGAAACAGTATATAATTAACTAAAAAGTCAATTCTTTTGCAAATCACCCCTTACCTCTTCAAAGTATTGGCTTTTAAAGGTAAGAATTATCCTAGTCCAGTTCATTCTTGCAGCGTCATGTTATGACACAGTACTGCTGGTTGTCTGCAGCGTTAACTCATCACAGTTAAAGAGAATTTTACAAAAGGAACAGACTTCTTTGAAGATAACATCTTTGAGAAAATATTTTATAAAACAACACAACTTGTCTGCTTCTGCAGCGCACAGCTATGAAAATTCCCTTTGGAGGATTTATAGATGGGGCATTCATTTTGGCTTTGTGTAAACAATGCATACACATAGAGCTGGAAAGTGAAAAAATAAATGTCAGCCTTTTTGTTCATAGGACTCTTAAACAAACTGGTCTGACTCTTTATATTATATAGTAGGTGCTCAACAAATAAAATTTGATTAACTCGACTGGTGGTTTTTACTGTTATATAGACGTAGCCTTTGTTTAAGATGTCTATTTTCATTTTCTTATTAATATATATTCAAAAGTACTCTTATTTTTAAGAAGAGATCTCAGTACTTAGTTACTTGTCCTATGTATATCACTATTCCAGCATGCAGACAAAATATCTCCATCGAAAATTATTGTTCTATTTATAACCATTAAGCTTATATCAGGTTTCTTTTTGAACAGATGAAACTGGCTTTAAAATTTCATGTTGCAACAGCATGTCACAAATACAAATGTTAAACTGAATTTTGTAACATTATACTGTATACTGATGAACACTGTTACAAACTACGACATTTACAAGTTTTAAAATTCACATTTCAAAAGTAGAGATTTTAGTCTGGATACAGATGTAATGAACTCAATGTTTATTCTTAAACATGTATGGATTACATTTATGGCACTTTAGTTAAAATGCCATAAGAAAAACAATACTTTCAGTGCCTTAACAAAAAACAAAAACATATTTTTCTACTTAGTTGGGAGAGGAGAGAAGTTGTGTGTTTGTGGGGAATCCAGACTGTGATTTCATCAGTATGAGGCACACTCTCTCCCAACGCCCATCTACAACTGTTCCTGAGCTCACAGCCTTAAAGAGCTAGGTTTCTGAGGCCTTGAGAGGTGATCACTTCTCAGGGTTCCACAGCCAGTATGTGTGAGAGGTCAGGCTTGAATCCAAGTCTTTTACACTCTGAGTTTGGCCCTGTCTTTCCACTAGGCCACACAGCCTCTTTTTAAATGGACAAATGCATAGAAATATGTATTGTCTGATATGATGTTTGCAGTATTGCGTTATACAGGCAATTCATTATTTTCATGGAAAAATGCAATATAAAGGGGAAGGCAGTCTTTGTATTACATAAAATATAACTGATAAAAAGCATGACTATGATGCATAAAACAATATATGGCCCACATTCCTGCAGCCCTTGTGTACAAAGAATTTCAGTAACTTGATTATAGTGAAAGTAATATTTTACTTTAGGCATTAAGTGAATATTATTAAATATAATCTTTAACATAAAAAATTTAAGTTGATATGTTAATTTGTAAGAAGTTAATCATGTATTTTAACAATGGAACTCATTACAAAATCCCATATGTAGCACAAAATAATTATATCTGATAAATACCTACAAATATAATCTATTCCTATTTTAAATAAAAATTTTACATTTAATCAAAGGACTTAATTTACACACATACTCTGAAAAATATATGATAGCATATTAATATATTCCTATTCAGCATGGTTCTAAATATTGAAAGAATTAAGAAATCTTCATATATAGAGGTTAAAGCAGCATGATATATCATGGTTATTTTCCTTTTAGAATAAAATTACTTATTGCATAGGAATAAGAATTGATAGATTTCTCAGTGTTCTATTTTGGTTCAGGTTTAGGGACATACTACAAAGTACAGATTCACAGACAAAGTCTCCAATGCTCACTTTTCATTACCATATATCCTCTTAGTCCAAACACAGGCTACCCCCAAATATGGACTACATGCATGCCTGAAATGATAGCTTTTTGAACAGAAAACAAGTATTGATGTTCACTGAAAAAATACTTAGGCAAAATTATTATTATAGGTCTGAAAAAATTTTAAACTTTCAAAAACTGAAATAAAGATGTCTTATTTTTATTATCAGTACTTTCGTCTTCATCACTTGCACTGCCATCCTTTTGTTGATAGAGCATTTTCATGCTTAGGGACTTTGCTCAAGTCTTATGTCAGCCAGATCAGGAAAAAAAAAAGTATCACCCATATTCAATCCAACATCATAATTTTGTCATAACAAATAGCTGTATTTCTTTTACATGTGGCAAGATGGTAATGAAAGAATTTAGTATAATTTTTGAGAGCAGTGCAAATCATGACATCAATCTAGTTAGTAAGAAATATTAAAGCATTCTATAAAATTAGTTTTAGATATAATTCATAATATTGTATTGTGAATAATACACTTACATTGTAATATCAAACTATTTTTGCTTTGTGATACTCAACAATATATTAACAGATGTACTGTGCAAACTCAGATTTATTAGCATCTGAAACACTATTTCAACATTCATTCTTTTGTATTTTTCCCCCTGAATAGCTTAAAAAACCCTCAAAGACTTCATTAGTATATTTTAGTGATGAGTCTATCTGTTCTATTAGCCACTTGGTATTTTAACATTCCATTAAGAACCGCAGGATTTGGGTTCTGAGGGAGGGAAAGTTCCTCATATTAGGATTCTAATGATAAAGACCAAAGGGGTCTAGTGCATGGAATGAACAAGTATAATTATTTAAAATTTTTGTTATTCTAAAGTAATTCTTAAGGTTTTATCTTCAGGATTTTTCACACAACTACCAAGTAATACATAACTACCAAGAGGGGAGAATAAAATAACTTAAAAATAAAATGAAGATCTATTAGAAAACACTGAAAGTCATCAAGGATAGATGGATGGACGTGATAGATGGATATGATAAATGAATGAAAAGGCATTGATAATAAGCCATTTATCACTTGCAAAGTACTACATTAAGCAGTCCAGCCCTTGCTCTGTAGGAGCTCACATTATAACAGGGTGGGACAAAGCTGAAGGAGGAAGAAAAGGTAATATAGTGATAATTTACCCAATATGCATACAAGCAGTAGTTGGGAAAGTGGCATGAGGAAAAGTTATCCCAAAGGGGGGGAAAACCTCTTTTTGTATGAAGCCTACACTAAGCAAGAATTCCTCAGTGAGCAATTATAGGACCTTATTTTGAAAATCCACAAAGGGTCTACTAGCAGTAACCTTAACCTACCTTTTCAACAGGAATAGAGGAAATGTACAAATAAGACATTAATCAAGTTTTGAAATAAGTAAGTGTAATGGAAAGTCAAAACTGCAAAAAAATCTGGAAACAATTTACAGAACATAAATAATTGTTTATATACATCTTTTACATGCAGGTAAACTTCATGGATGAATGCCTGGGAAGGAAATAGATGGCCCAGCCTTGTAATGATTTTCAAAGGCTTGAAAAAAGAGAGAAAAAATACATCTTGGGCTATCTTCTTAACATAGAGCCTTCTGGAAGAGACTGTTAATGGGCAGGCCCTGTCCTTGGTCCACAGGCTTATGACCTTGATTAAACTGGGGGGAGTTACCATGAGTTGTTCAACTTCCTGGTCTAATGTCATCCCTTGTCAGGCAGACTTTCTCCACAAATTAATATAAAAAAACCCTCCCATGATGGCAGGCTACCAAGCAGAGTACAATAGGATTCTGCTGCTTCTTCCTCACTCAAAAATGTAAAAAACAGATGGGCTACTGCCAAAGCTATTGTAGAGCTGGCCTCTAGGATTTAGGCCTGTAACTACTATACCTCTTAGAGTTAAGGTGAGAAGAAAAAGGGGGTTTGTGTTGATGTTGATGGTGGGATAGAGGTAATGGTTTTATGACAAGACTTTCTGTGGAATACTATTATTTATTTTATGTTAGGTCAAGCCCATATGTTAGAGTGAACAAAGGGGACATGATGTTCAAACCTTGCCTACAGCCTCATCCTGGCTTTGTTAGAGATGTTCAGTTGTGGAGGTAGAATATTGCTGAGACATCTGTCTAGTCTATTAATGTGCCAAAGTAATTGTTATATTTTGAACTGAATATAATTATGAAGTGAACATTTTAGTTTATTACATGACTGTAGTACTTAAATCCATATATAAATATTTTATTAATCCACATCCTTAATATGTTTTAATGTAATTACTTGTTTAATTTTTCTTTTAGAAGGAATTATTATATCCATATATGTATGTTTCCTAAATGTTCTAGTCTGGTGTTGTGAGCATTGGAGGGTAATGACCACTCAACTGTGTCCAGTTTCCCATGCAATGTTTCTTTTTTAAGCCAATTAAGTTTTGTTACTCTATGTAATTTGAAATTATCACAGAAGTTTTATAATGAACAATTTTTGTTAAGTGTTGCAAATGTAATGTCCATATATGATGAGTTATGTTAAAAATTTAATATGCCAGTTGCTTGAAAAAAGATTTTTTTAAACACTGATAAATATGTTGGCATTACTAAATGTAAATAGCACATACCTTGGATCGATTACAAAATAGAGCTTTGACAAAATAACAGTAATAGTGATTACAGCTGTGCAAAAGAGAACTTAAAATTCCAACAAATATAGTTGGCTCTCTAAAAAATTCCAAATTGCCTAACATGACTTTATGAAAATTAATTAAAAAAAAAAAAGAATACCAATTGGGCTTTGACCTTCTTGATTAGATCTCAACCTTAACAAGTTTTATAGCCCAGTTAGATAAACTTCTGAAAACAGAGGTTATAATAGAAATGATAACTCAAGTATAATTCCTTATGACACTATTTTGTACCATTTAACATCACATTACTGTAACCCTTTCTGGTGAAAGGTGTGGAATGATTCCACTGGCTACTTCGATAAACTGACTCTTTTCCCAGCCTTTTTTAATTCTTTTCAGTTTCCTGCTTACACATGGAAAGAGTAAAATGATTTTTCCCAGAATGACAACAGAGGGTAAAACAAGGGCAAGAACAAAATTTGGTGGCGTATAAAACCGGTAGTACTCTTCTTCAAAAGCTCTTTTCCACCCGTAAATTAGAACATGGAAAGTACTTATGAGCAGGGCCACATATCCGAGTGTAGACTTTGGGAGGGAAAAAAAGACAAAGAAATTAACCTTCTTGATTCTCTTATAGGGACTATCAGTTGTGCTGCCTCTAACTTCTTGTTTAATTCAACTATATTGAAATTGTACTTTATTTAAAACTTCATTTTGAAAGCCTTGCATCATTTAAGATTATAAAGTATACAAATAAATCTACATTGTGATGATTGCTTTGGCTGTTTACAATTTCAAAATCTACAAGTAAGACTTCTTAAGTCTCTATGATTAGGATTACTATACTAAGTCGTTACATTTATCATCTAAAAAGTAGTATTACATCAAGATGTTGATGTAACGACTAACTCTGACTGACAAAAGCTATGCTAGCCCCTTAAGCAGAACAGACTCTCTTGTTTTCAATTATTTATCTAAATTTAAAATATTTTGCACCTGTCTGCCACCTTTTATTCAAAGGCCTCCAACACTTTCCAGGTGTGATGAAAATCTCAGCTGAGAAAATATTTCTGTTTCCCTACCCTCAGCTAGAAAATTAATTTGGACAAGGACCATGCCTCCAATTTGGCTAGAATTACAAGAGGGTATGCAGACACAAATGAATTTGGTGCTATGCAAAAGGATTAGTCACAACTTTTTACACCCTCTTGTAAAAATACATTTGGCCTCATCTAATTCAGAATTTGTGCAAATTTAAATAGGATACAAGCTAATGTCTACTTTTCACTCTCCATACTAAATCCAAAGATGCCCTACCATATTAATCTATTTCTAAGATTCTAATTGGTGGCAGCAGTATTGTAGAGTGGAATGAACACTGGATTTAAAGTCAGATGAACCAGGTTTGAGTCTTAGCTCTGATGCTCATTACGTATTTGATTCTTAACCTTCTTGAGACTCAGCTTCCTCATTTGTAAAACGAAGGGTTAAGTGGATTGGCCTCTGAGGTCCTGTTCAGCTCAAAATCTAAGATTCCATGTATATAACTGATAAGTGAATTACATATGCTAATAATCCAGATTCTTAAGGATAGCTACTTGTGAACACTTTAGAGAATATTCGAGTTGGAAGTAATTTTAGATCACATTTTTACAGAAGAGGTGGCAGGCCTAAGGAAATGAAATTACAGAGCTAGTAAGAAAGTAAGAAAAAGGAGGTTTATGTTGATAAGTGGTGATCAATTTTTGTTGTTGTTCAGTTATTTTTCAGTCATGTCAGATTCTCCATGACCTCATTTTGGGGGTTTTCTTGGAGTGGTTTGCCATTTCCTTCTCCTGCTCATTTTACAGATGAAGAATGGAGGCAGAGTTAAGTGACTTGTTCAGGGTCACACAGCTAGCAAGTGTCTGAGGCCAGATTTGAACTCACAAAGGTAAGTGTCTTCCTGACTCCAGGCCGAGCACTCTATCCACTGTGCACCCACCTGCCCAAAATCAACCAATTACTAGGTATTAAATGCTAGTTATGTGCCAGGGTCAATGCTAGCTGGAGATATAAACACAAAAGCAAAATAGTTTCCTACCCTCAAAGTACTTATATTGTAACAGGGAAGACAACATATATATGTACAAAGACAGACATAATAACATAAATGTAAGGTGGCTACAGGAAGGAAGGGGGGGATGTTCACAAAAAGTGTTATGTACAAGTGGCCCTTGAGTTGTCTTGGAGGAAACCCAGGGATTCCCAGAGGTCGAGGTGAGGAGGGAAAGCACAGGGGATCATCAGTGTAATGTCACCGAGCTGGGAGATGGAGTTTTGTAAGTGAGGTGCATCTAGTAAGGCTAGGAAGGTAGGAAGGGAGCATGTCGTAAAGAGCTTCCGTGCCAAGGGAGAGTTTCTGTTTGATCCTAGCAGCAACAGGGAGCACTGCAGTTGGTCGGGGACAAGGGACACTGATCAGACCTGGGCTGTGTAGAGAGCAGATCGGAGCTGGGAGAGAGTTGAGGCAGGGAGACCAATCCAGATGGCAGATGGCAGTGAAGGCCTAAACAAGGAAGTTGGCTTTGTGAGTGGAGACCAATTGGATACGTGTGGACGCGAAGAGCCAAGGACAACACTGAGGGTTGTGAGTAGGGGGTGCTGATTGTGTAGTGGCTCCCTTGACAGGAATGGGAAGCTTGAAAAAGGAACGGGTTTGAGGGAAAAGATAATGGAATTCTGTTCTGGCATGTTGAGTTGGGACAGAGAGTGCTCAAACTTTTGACTCCAAATCCAGGATTCTTTCCACTATATTATGCTTACTCCTTTTAAAGCACTATATAGATGTCAGCTAGTAGTATAATTGTCACCAGAAGCTCAATATTCTGATCCCCTCTCTTCATTTCATTTCACTTAAGGTGGTGTTGAGCTGATCTAGATTTAACAACTCACGAAACAGAAAGAAGCTGTGTATCATAGCTCAAGAGGAACTTATTTTTAACAAAGAGTATCCTTTAAAAAGTGGAAATACAATGAGGGGCAGCTAGGTGGTGCAATGGATAGAGCACCAGCCCTGGATTCAGGAGGACCTGAGTTCAAATCCAGTTTCAGACCAGACACTTGACACTTACTAGCTATGTGACCTTGGGCAAGTCACTTAACCCTAACTGCCTCACCAAAAAAATAAAAAAAAGTAAACACAGTGATTGATGAATTAAATTTTTTTCTCCTTTCCCCACAACATACCTGGATAAAGCTGAACTCTCTCCAGTTTAAGGAATTGCTCACTGAAGGGATAGAAGTTATTGCTAATAAGGAAAGCAAGCCAAGGCTCATTATTCCAAAAGAGATATACATTTCAATTCTCCACACTTCTTCTTCATTCCAGGAGTTTTCAATATTTGCATGAACCTGACAAGAAAGTAAATTTGAATCTCCTTTATTTGGTAGAACATTTACTGAATCAGCAATGCATTCTCTGTATAATAAGAGGCAGTATATATAAGAACATAATTTTAGAAAAAATGTCTAACTTGCATCTGATATTTATTGTAAAATAACTCACTGGATGACTGTTTTAGTGTATTATTTTGTAAGTACTATAGTTCAAGAGACAGGATCCATGATCAATCCTTCATTGCTTCCCAATTTTTTTAACAACCAGAACATTAATTCTGTAATGACAGTCTCCTTTTGATCTGCTCTTTGATGTAGGTTTTTTTTTTGTCAAAGAATATGGTATATTAAAGGCTTTCATCATGTAGGGAGCTTTAGCTCTGGAGACTCCCTTCACCAATTAATATTGGCAATTCATGTGTATTTTATAGTTTTAGAGAGTACCCTGGGATTCTAAGCCATTAAGTAACCTGCCCACGGTCATACTGAAAGTTTGCATTAAGGGCAAGCCTTGTCGCCCAGTACCCCCAATTCCAATGCTGGCCCCTTTATCCACTATTCTCATGTTGCTTCTCTTAATGCTTATAAATGACTAAATTAATTGAAATTAATTAATTAAATTAAATTAATCATTACTGTGACATATATTTATTAGCTTCAGGCTATTTATATATTAACATAGTAAAGATATCCCCTACAAAAGTAATGGTAAAAAAAAGTCTCTTATTGATAAAGAGTATTATTTTCACACAACACTGATGATATTTGGGAGGTTTCTTGGGGGGGGTGCTGACTAACTGTAATCAATTGCTCCATTGCTTGTGGTTACTGCTAAAGTAGTGATACTCAAACTTTGGATGTTGAGTAATGTTTGCTTTTCTTGTTTAATAATGTTGCTCATTAATTAAATGTATTAAGATATTAGGCCAGAATTTAAAAACAGATGACCTTGAGATCATTTGAGATCTGCTTTTACATAAGTAACCGGGACACAGCATTTCGCTTAAATCAGACGAAAATAAAAAGCACGTTCCTTACCTGCTGATAAGCCATGTTGAGAAGCAAGTAACGCTCCGATCTTCTCATTGGTAAGCAAAGGCTGTAAGCAACATGGACTGTAGCAAAGAAAAAGCTTAGTAATCCGAGCTGTTTTCTACACTGTAACCAAGTCTCTAGCCATGGAGGAAATCGTCTATACTTGGTGCCGTAATATAACTGATAAGCAGCAGCCAGAGTCCTGCGAGGTAAACCAGAGAGAGCAGCGTGATGGCGACAACGGGTAATGTCTTGTTCACCATTTCAATGGGAATCTTGTAAAAGTCACTCTGTTGGTTTCTCGCATACGGATGTATCACATCTCTGACAAAGGAATAGAGGAAGAAAAAAGTGGCCAGGCTTACTGCTACCACAACTGGCCCTCTCCACAGGGTGAACAGTCGCAAGGGTAAGTTCTCAATCTCCCTGGCTGACGATAATGATCCCAAGTCAACAGGAATGAAGTTCAGTTGACGAGCAAGTTCAATAACTTGATGTCGAGCTTGAATATTGTTGCTACATATATAGACCTGTTTTTTTTTTGTAAAAAAAGACAATACAAAATTCTGTAAAGATAATTTGTCCCAGAGTATTCACACTACAGAGCAGCACTGCTAGTTTTAGAAGATGTGAATTACAAAAGAAGCTAATGCTGGAGAGTGATGGGCAAAGGCATTTATTATATGTGTCATACAGGAAGGAAGGAAGGAAAGAAAGAAAAGAAAGAGTGCCTCCTCTGCTTATGCAGATCACACCTTCACATCCCGTGTGATTCATATCCATTTCCTTCCATAAATCCTACAAAGAATCTATCCAATATTCTTTCCTCTGATTCTTCTAATACTTTGCGCCTTCTTGCTACATGACTGACCCATCCTGTTTTCCAGGTACTTCTGTTTTTGGTCAAGTCTTTTATGCCACTTTTTGCACACAAGTCATCACTGGCAGTATGTATCCCCCCATGCACCTCTCCATTGCCTTTTGGGTCACCTGCCATTTTTATTCAGTGTATTCCATAATTCAGGCGGCTAGGTGGCGCCAAAGGGCACAAAGCCCCTGTTCTGGAGTCAGGAAGCCTCATCTTATTGAGTTTAAATCTGGCCACAGATGCTTACTAGGTGTGTGACCCTGGGCAAGTTCCTTAACCAGTTTGCCTCAGTTTCTCATATATAAAATGAGCTGGAGAAGGAAATGGCAAACCACTCCAGCATCTCTGCCAAGACAACCCCAAATGGGTCATGAGGAGTTGGAACCGACTGAAATGAATTAATAAAACAACAAAATCCATAATTCACTGCCATATAGCTTTACTGGAGAAATACTGATATCAAAAAAACCAAGGTCTGCAGTTGGAGGCAAGTTGGTAATCAATGAGAAAGTCACTTTACAATTTGTGGAAAATGTGAATCTGCCTGTTCTCCTGCTAGTCCCTTGTGGCCCAGCTCATTGTCTATAGGCAATGCCTATTCACGAGAGCAGACTGATGGATTCACTCAGTGAATTGCCCATCTAACCACACAGAAAAGTCTAAAGATTGAAGAATAAGAATTGAAGGGACCTTAGGGGCCATCTAGTATGCCCCCCCTTTCTGCCCCGCCCCCATTCCCTCCTTCATTTTAGAAGGAAATGAGGCTAAGTTAAATGACTTGTCTAGGTTCACACAGCTAGGACTTATTGAAAGTTGGATTTGAATCCAGGGCTTCCTCACTCATCTGCTACTCTGTGCTGCCTTTATAACCTCTCCAACTACTTGTTTTTTTCTTGTGTGGATTATAAGGTCATTTTCTGTTAAGTAGTTGAAAATTTCATTGGAAATGCCCTGTGATAGTAGTTAAGAGTGTATGCCCTCCTCAAACAGGAACATTTGGAGAACCTAGACCTGGTAGGGAAATCCCTCCTCTCTTTGGATTTGCATAAGACATTGTCCAGGACAGAATGTAAAACATGTCTCAATATTTTATTCCTTGATGCTGATAATCAGAATCACCAAGTCAACAGCATGTCTACTTTTATGATTGTACCTATCAAGAAATTCTGTGTGATTGTAACCTACTGAAAGAGAACTCTTTAGAGTGTGTGTTGCTCTACCAAGTCAAATGCTTCTTTGTACTTAATGAACAGTTACCACAACAAAACCTTGTATTCTCTACATCTCTTAATCAACTGTGTGACTAACCTATGAAAGCCAATGTTTTTGCTTTATCCATTCCCTAGTCACCAGCTTACTTATGGTCAGGTTGGAACTGTTGTAATCACCTAGTCTCCTCTCATTTGGCCAGGGATTATTTCATATTTTCTTTGTATGGCATGATGCCTGGTACATAGTAGGCACTTTTTTTTATAGTTTGCTCAACATATCCAGTGACATTAATCTATATTAGCCTGAGTTTTTCAAATATTCTATGCAGCTTTATCCTGTTTAATTTCTAATTATATTTTCCAAACCATCTTTTTTTCCCCCAGTCTGCCTATGCTTATCTTTGCATCCAAGTCACCAAATATTAGTATAGATTTTTACTTGGTTTGAGGATCTTGTTAGCTGTTCTGTAAAATTTCTCCATTTCTTCATATTCTTCAACAGGTGTTGGAGTATATGTTAGAGCAACCTTCATGATGGTCCTCTTTCCTTATATTCACTGTGAACACTGGGAGGTTCCATAAAACTGTTTTATCTTTGGGCACATGAAACCAGTTCCACAAACTCCTGAAGGCATTTCTCCAAGGAGTTACTGTAAGTCATTCTGCCATTTAATGCCAATATGGATGTGATCCAAGAACATATCAAATCATTAGAGGCTGAGACAGTGGTCTCACACATTATACCGAGAGTTAAATTAATGTTTATGGACTGTTTGAAATCCTTAATACCCTCTTCCCCCTTTTCTATTAAGTCATCATGGTCACTGAAAGGTGAAGAATGCACAGAACTGAGGGTCATTTTTAATTTTTAAAGTATCTTCATGACCAGTGAGTTAATTAACTGATGACCACCTTGCTTTCAGAAGGCTATCTTTAAATTTGTTGGGCTGGTCCTTGGACAGTAGGCATAGCTTGGAAGAGCCTGGTAGTGGACCTTGTACTCTGTTGGCATAGCTTTGACGAACCCAAGGCCACCTATCTACTAGAAAGAGGCACTAGTGTGAGACTTTTATGGAAGTTAAAATATCATACAAACAACAAAGACAAAGTCAGTGATAATATATGTAGATTAGTCAGAGGGAAGAGGATTACAGGGAGAAATCTGTGCTGCCCCCTAAGAATGAAGTGGCAAAGGAAAATCTCCTTAAATCTAGTGCATGTTGAATCTGAACTGGTGAGAGAAGATAAGGAAGGGGTTACCTTTCTTGTATCCCCAGCACTTCCCACAGTGTCTGGCACATAGCAGGCACTTATTAATGTTTCTTGACTTCTACTTTTTATATCAGTGTTGCTGAAGACTGATTGATCAAAATGAGTGTTTCTGAAATTCTTTGGATGGCCTTTGGCATGATCATTCAGTGTCTTCATTTCTCTTATCTCTTAACGGTGATATCTCACATGATATTTTAAATTTAGCTAATAAAGACAGTAGAGCCATTTTTATGTTCAGTACTGTGCAAGTGCTTAGTAGTAGAATTAATCTAATGTGAAAAAAGAAAAGTAACTGCAAGTCAACAAAAAGATATTAAAGATCCTAGACTCCTCAAATCTAGGAGATTAAAAACACAACATGCTCCCTAAACATCCCTTGCAGATACTATTGATACTAATGAAATAAGTGCTCTGAAATAGTATGCCTTTCAAAATTCTTATCTAATTAACAGTATATAAAGTGAGGTTCCTAGAACGCTTCTCTTTCTACAATTTGTAGTACTTTTTATACCAAAGAAGCCAGGAAAATATCTTTGATGATTTAATCTATTACAGTCTAATTGTGACAGGAGTAGAATCTTGATTTATTTGAAGAAAGGAAAATGCTTTTCCTGGTTGATGACCACTGAGATCTATCACATCAGTGGCAATACCTTTGCCAGTTACTCAGAAGTTCTCTCATAATCCCTGTTTTGTAATAGTTAATTGTGTGTATTTAATAATGATTTCAAAGGAACAGACCAACTCAGATAGTCATCTAGAATAACTATCATAAAATCATTACAGGTGAGACCATTTCTGTAGTTCACAGTAAATGACTATAATCATTGGTTTTACCGCTTTATTTTCCACTTTAAAAAATTATGAGCAATGGCAAAATGTTAAATGAGGACTTAATTTAGGTAGATTCTCACAGGTTCCCAGATCTGGTACCTTCAGTTCTCAGCTACTACTTAATCTCTTTTGCAGTCACACACCGAGAATAAGAAATGAGAGGCAATGGAATGGGAAGAACGGTTGTACACATGGGGTGGGGATGAGAGGGAGAGAATGAATGCGCATTTATATAATGCCCGCTGTATGCCAGACACTGTGCCCTTCTTACAGATATTTTCTTCTTTGATTCTCACAATCATCCTGGGAGGTAGATGCTATTATTATCCCCATTTTTACATAGAGGGAAATTTAGGCAAACAGAATTTAAGTGACTTGCCCAAGGTCACACAGCTAGGAAGTGTCTGAGGCCACAGAACTTTGTAGTGGTACCTGATGCCTGAGTGTGTCTCTGAAGAGCTATTTTCTTAGTAACTGGTTTCCTCATCAGATATTTGGTATACATTTGCATATAGTGGTCAAACAGATAGATACTGTTATGAGTAGTAAAAAAATTTATCTATGAATAGAACTAAATTCATAACTTTATCATTAATATTTTTATAAACATACTGTCTTAACTTCTAGACAAATGAAAACCTATACTTTAAAAAATTGTGTATACACAATCCTATTGCAAATGAAAAGGTACTTGCTAAGTAAACTGTGTGGATTTTGAAAAATTTTATTAAGCACCCTATCACCTAAAGGTAAAATGCTAGTATTAAATGTCTGCCTGCCAAATGCTTATTCAGGAGACACATTTCTTACCAAATGAATTTATTAATAGCCAAAGATTGTTGTTTTTGAAAAAAACAAAGAGAAGCTATTTTCTGCCCACTTTTGTTATTTATTTTTATTATATCTAGAATAAGCATAGAAATTCTTTTTCTAGTAAATTTAGAAAAATAAATATACTGTATGATAATAGTGTCTAAGATAGTTTTCAAGTAAGTTAATTTTTTTTCTCGTTTTTTGGCTAGGCAACAGGGTTAAGTGACTTGCTTACGGTCACACAGGTAGGCTAGTAAGTGCTATATGTCTGAGGCTGGATTTGAACTCAGGTCCTTCTCACTCCAGGGTCGGTACTCTCTCCACTGCACCACCTAGCTGCCCCTCAAGTAAGTTAATTTTGAAATGAAGTATGGGAAAACACTATGTTAAACATACATTAAAGACCTATTATGCACGATATTGTGCCAGATACTTTGCGACTGTATTCAAATATGGTCTTAAGTGTTTTGTTCTATGGAAAGGAATGTGGTCTCTTTAAAAGAGGTCACTGACAGCAGCCAGACTATACTACCACAGGGCTGAGAGAAATATTTAACGAGTGAATTTAAACAATACACATAAATTTATAGCAGATACCCATGGGGAAACAATTACTGTCAAACAGTCCACAGGGAGACTCAAACAAACCTAACATCATACAATTCTTTCTTCTGTCAGCCCCATGATGAAGGAAGATGCAAAGCAACCAAACAAAAGCTAATAAATAACTGATCAGGAATGCTAGGAGTAATAAAGCTGCCCCTCCCATTAGTTAATGGCCTAAAATGAGTGAATGGAGGTTGGAGAGGTCAGAGGCTAAAGAAATATTACTTTAACAGCTTTTGACACCAAGTTTCCCTGAAGCATGGACTCACTCAAATAATATGACTCAAAAAGGCTTTGACTTGACCAAGGATTAGCTAAAAAAAAAAATGCTTTGTTTAAACACTGGAGAGGAAAAGCTTGCTCAAGTTAACAGTGACTGATAACCAGTTAAGGACCCTGTGACACCTATTCATACTTAAGTATCTGAAGTCCATTAGATCTTTTATTATATCGTAGAACATCTTTTTAAATATGGAATTCTTTAAAGTTTATTCTTAGCTAATTTTAATTTTTAAAAAATTATATATTATCTGAATAAAAAAGCCCTGAATAAAAACGCATGCTATTCCTTTCACTCAATTAACCATTCCTATGGTGCCTGGCTGTCCTGACGACAAACCTATAATTAATGCATCACTGTCTAGTTTGTGGCAACTTCACCTAATTGTAGGCCAAGAATCTACAAGGAAATTTATAGCTACGTGTCTAGCATATGGTAAGTGCTTAATAAATGCTTAAAGAAACTTACAAATACAAACCTACAAAGCACTTGCAACTCCTCATATAATGAGTGGTCTGACCCTAGATTTGGACTAAGATGGCTTTGGATTTAAATTCTAAGGACTTTTGTGGCTGAGCAAATCAATTATTCTCTTTGCTTCAATTTCCTCATCTGTAAAATTAGGTGTTCCACTAGTGGGTCTCAACCCCACATGGAGTCGCAAACCCACAGTTTAAGAAGTACTGAAGGGGTCATGAGTAGAAAAAGTTTAGGAAGCCCTAGACTAGATGATTGAAAAGGGTCCCTAAAGCTCTAAATCTTATGAACTCCTAAATAGCAATATTAAAACTTTATTTTAATCCTTCGAAAGATCCTTGATTTTATAGTTGTGAATACCTCTGCCCCTTATGTAGATCACAATTCCTGCAATCCTTATCCTTTGCAACTCATGCTTAATGGACGCCCCCCTCCCCACCGCTGGGTGGGGTTGAGGTCAGGCCCTGTCTTGGGCTGCTGCTGAACTGGTTCCGTATATCTAACAAAGCCTTCTCAGTTTGGGGAATGTTGATTGATATGTGGCAGTATGGCTGGCAGCACAGGATGGATGGGGGCCGTGTTATTGTGTGACTGAGACAAGGTCAGTAACGAGGAATAGAGGTTGTAGACGTGGGGGACCAGAAGCAGTAAAGAGATTGCCTGTGCAGCAGAAGCAGGCTTGGGAAGGTACCCATACTGGGTCTTAGTGGTTATGTACCCCGGGAAGCAAGCGATGAGCTGCTGAACCTGACAGAGTTCTCGTCATTCGTTCAGGGGCGTGTGCATGTTTTTTATTCCTGGCCCTGCCCTTCATGTTCTTCTGAATTCTCTTCAGTTGAAGAGCCCCTGCAACTGTTACCCTCATGCTTTGACATGTCAACAGCTGACTCTTAAGTGACATCAGAAAATATTCCCCTCTCAGTCCATCCCCTCCTCCCCTCAGGGGCCAATGGTGGAACACCACAAAGGGCAGGAACTGATGGTACTTCTGGACTACATCCATTCCAAACCCACCAATGCTACATGAAATGGAATGGCTTGGACAGTGAAGGACAGAATTCTTTATTTAATCTTATAATTCAAGAATAATTTTTCCTGCTTCTCTCCGAAAGCCAGGAAAGGGGAGAAGTATGATTCTGGCCTATGCTGATCCAGGTCTGTGTGTGCTGGGCCCAACAAAAAGTCTGGCACACTGATGTGGGTTAGTTGCGGGACAAAGTGCTCACTGGCTTCCTGTCTGGATAGTAGACAAGGTGCTGAAGCCGAATCTTCTCGCTTTGATGACTTGCCCACAAGATCCCAGCTATTCAGCCAAACTTAGACTCCTGTTTGTGAGGCCTATCCTGAGATCTGGTGATTGATTATTTCACCTTTTTATATACTTTTCTTGCTATTTTTTTTTAATAAGGCAATTGGGGTTAAGTGACTTGCCCAGAGTCACACAGCTAGGAAGTATTATGTATCTGAGGCCAGATTTGAACTCAGGTCCTCCTGACTCCAGGGCCGGCGCTCTATCCACTGCGCCATCTAGCTGCCCCCCTTTTCTTGTTATTTTTAATATATCTTGTGGCTTGTCCTCACTGTCTTCAGCTCCCCTCAGGTGATATCTACAGTTGGTATTATGGTGTGGGGAGACAGCTTAGGAAAAATGAAAAGTGGAAACCAAAATTTGAGTGCAAGACATTGTTCATCACTGTAAAAGAGTCTGATGAACTGACTATTTAGGAGACAGAAGTCTAAGAGTAGAAGTACTGTTGTAGTGGTCATCTGATTCTTTCTGCCAGGCAACTAGATTTTGAATGAAGGGCAGTGGAGAGACAAGCCTCAACCCAAGGAACAGTAAACAAAGCAGGCTTAAAAGGCATAAATCTGGGGTTCTCACATGACGTGATGTGGTAGAGGAGACCATGTAGCCAGAATAGCTTAGTGAGGAATAGTCGTGCTGCTTCAGGTGCTAGCAAAGTTGGAACAGAGGCTGAAGTAAGCCAGTTCTGTGAGCTCATCTACCGCTATCATATTACAATTAATTAAACCCTTGGGATGATAGTGGCTGTGTGATGAAGGGTAGTCCAACTGCAATCCAGGATTGCTGAGCATAGTTTTAAGAGTTGGGAGGGGGGAGGGTATTTTCTACGGGGTCCTCCATTGGTCTTAGGCCTTTCAAGCCTGAACATACTAGATGATATCATGCTAGAGGTTAGACCACCAGAATTATCATGCTATGGTACAAAGAAACTGTGTACTCCAGTACTGACCTGTTATGGTATAACTGATGCAGAACCGTCCGTAAAGCCCCTCAACATGGGATGTCAATCCTTGTCCAAAGACGGAGGGTCCCTCTGACACAGATGGTAGGTATACTGGCCCAGAATTACACATATTCTTTTCTGCATTACACTATATTATGAGAGCCAATAGATGAAGCACATAGAGAGCTGGTCCAACGTCTGGAAGGCCTATGTTTAAAGCCTGCCTCCTACATATTCTCGTGTGTGACCCTGCGCAAATCACTTACCTTCTCAGTACCCCCTAGACAGCTAACTGCACTGGTAAAAGGAATTTCCTCTCTGGGAACTGTCTACACCAGTGGCATCAAATTCAAACAGAAGATCCCTGCACATGTACTGACTCAGAAAACTACAAGTTAACATTATCTATGCTGTATTTTTATTTATTTTGTTAAACATCTGCCAATTACATTTTAATCTGGGTCAGAGTACTGTGGAATTTTGGTAGCACATGGGCAGGGGCTGAGAGTTTGACACTTCCGGTCTATACTAATGAAATCATGGGTTCAGACAAAACCAAATCATTGCATTATGTGTTGATTCTTTTCTCCTTATTTGTCTGTGCTCCACAGTATGCCCTGCATCCAGAACATCACATTTACTAAACAGATCTACTGACTACATCTAGAACTGGGAATAAAAACTCCCTGAAGTGTATGGAGCTGGGGCATAGGCACAGGCTCCTCAATGATAACAATAATAATAATAATACCAATAGCCTCAAAGGAGCATAGGAGGCTTAATTGGCTTTAGGCAGGTTCCTATCATCTGCAGTTTCCAGTTTGGGCACTTTAAAATATGTAAAGTGGGTTGTACACACTTATGTTTTATAGGCCCACTGAACTCTCATAAACAATGTAATGAGTGATGCACTGTGAAACTAATTTATCTCTATCAAAGTGAAATGGAGAACTCAAGCAACTGGTTGAGGAACTGAGACCCCAAAACTTGCCTTTTCTTGAATTGCCTGGACGCCTCAAGCAAAAGGCAAGTAATTACCTCAGCTCTTTGCTTGCAGAGTTTGTCTTTATACAGTCAAGAAGCTGATAGTTAAAAGCTTATGGTAGCCATTTTGGGTTCAGCAGAGTCTCAGCACTTGGTAGGAATCTGTCTGAAAATTAGTACACCTATGTCCACACACCCACATGTTACATCTCTCCTCCAAAAAGACAAACCAAAAAAACCATACCTGCCTGCTGGCATCCTTGGGTCCTAACTGGAGTGCCCACGCTGAGACCACGTTAAATCCTTTCACAATGAAGGAATCCGGGAACAATGAAGCCAAATATTCTGCATTGGACTCTGGGTACTGGTTTACTCTCATGTTATTGCTAACATCAATCAGGATTTTACCAACAAGAAGATGTCGGAGATCCCACAAAGAGGTATAATGTTCTCTATGTATTGCGACAAAAATTATATTTGTTTTTGTGAGGGCATCTTCATGATGGGTGACATCAACAACATGCGGAAAGAATTCTGAAGCAAATTTGGGGTTTCTGCTTCCTATAACCACGTGATACCCACATCTGATAAGTCTAATAGTCAGAGATTTGGCAAAATCTCCACTTCCAATTATGCCTATGGTAACCTTACTTGCGTCTTTGATACCATTTATCCCATTAGGTAAAAATGTTTCATTAAGACTCTTAGGGCTTCCCATCATCGATATGGATTCCATGATTTGAAGACTTGCACAGTGCTAACCTAGAAAAGAAAAGGAAACATTTTAAAGTCACTCAAAGCCAAACCTTAAAGCAGTGCCACACAGAGTAAGATTAGATGTAGGCCACGCTAAATCAGCTGGGAACAAAGTCAAGATCCTAGAAATAAAATAGGCCTTTGGATATCTGAAATAGCTGTCACAACGCTGATGCACTGAAACCCACAGACTTTGTGACTGCAGGAGATGCCATGAGCCTACTGACTTATTTTTATACGGTTGTGACAAGCACAATCATCTGATTTCCCAGACAACAAAAGATCCTATCAGTGTATGAGAAGGCCTAGGAGAAACAGGCAAACTAACAGAAAGAAGAATTAGCAGCTGACATCAAGAAAGGAGCCGGTGGAAAAATAACCACTATAAAATGCAGATACAAGAGTCATGAGAAGTGTGCAGACTAGAGCTATTTATAATATGATCTGATATACTTTGGTAGCTACTATATGTACTCCACTGGCCGTGTCAAGCTCAAATGGAAGCAGGGGTCACTAAACTATACTTAAAGATCCCTCCAAGCTGCATATTGATTGACTGAACATTTATCTATGTCATATTTTCATTTTGTTAAATATTTCCCAATTACATTTTAATGTGGTTTGAGCCATACTGGGGAATGTTGTGGGCCACATGTGGTCCATGGGCAGTGTGACACCTCTCTATTACAATATGTATTATAGAGCACTGCAATAATTGGTTGTAACAAGAATCACTCTGCATCATCAAGGAAATATTAAATTATGGCCTGTATACTCTGTTTAAGATGGCAGAGAAAAAGGAAATAAATTTCAGAAAGATTTCCTTTAAAATGATTATGGATGAAAGGTTTTACTCTTGAATGGGTAAACTTAATATCTATGTCAAATTCACTTCTATTGAACATCTGTTGGTATGGAATAAATCGCTATTTTAACAGAAAGTTATCTGCTTCAAGCTCTTTTAAAAATATGGTTTCATTATAGACTACATCACACAATAATTGGGTTTTTCCCCCTTTTCTTGATCATCCCATTCTTCCAACATTTACCAGTAGTGTACTATATACAAAATGCCATTCTAGAAACTGGAGATAAACAGAAACAATAAAAGTCTCTGCTCTCGAGAGGTGTATAAACACATACTGGGTATGAGATACTGACAGAAAAGTATAATACAAGACAGGGTGTTATGAGGGCAAAGAAGAGGTGAGAAAGTGCTATGGCAAGTTTTAGGATGGAGAGATCACTTCCACCTGGGGGAGGAGATCCTGTGAAACTTCTTGGAGAAGGTAGCACCTGAGCTAGAAGAGAAAGATTTCAGCATGGGAAACTGAGGGAGGAGGGGAAAGCATGAGAAATGGCATGCACTGAGGGGAGGATGAGAGAGGAAAGGAGGGCTGGGAGAGGGGAACTTTGGAGAAGGTCCATGTTCAGACATATAAAATTCAAGAGAGCTTTCCCACCTTTCTTTATATAGCATGTTCACATTTTACCCATCTGCCTGTTTAGCTTCTAAACATATGGGGATAGTGGTATGACAAATCCTGGTTCTTGGATGGTGACTAGGGTTAAAAATTGTAACTAAATAACTGGCTTTGTAGATAGGCTAATAAACCTCACAAGTGTCAAAAATGTTTTACTTGCATGCATAATATTCACTAATCTCCACATTTTTGCCAGTGTAATGTTCATCTGTGTCACTCAATAACAAGCATTTATTAAGCACCTACTATATACCAAATACTGTGCTAAGCACCAGGGAAACATACAAAGAATGAAAATTCCAATTCACAGGGAAATTATATTCTATCAGGGAAGACATGTACATTTTAAAATAGATGCAAAATATGTCTAAAGAGAATAAATTAAAAAATAACGCAAGGTAATTAGAGAGAGAGGGGGGACTAGCAGTTGGGATCAGGAAAGACTTGTTAGGCAGTGTGATAAAATGGAGCAGTTGGAACTGAGCTATAGTACTGGCTTTGCTGGTAAGTGGCCAACTTCAACTATACAGTCTCCCCTACTTTTTTGCCCCCTAGTCCTGTTACTATTGGTGCCTTACAAAACCCCAACCTCAGATTATCTTAACCACCCATCACCTCTGCTTCTCTTCCCTTGATGCTACACAGTAGTGGAGAGTTACAAAACTTTCTTGATTCTACTGCAAACATGCTATTTACTCTCAAATGGACTCTCCTAGCAATAAGACTACCATTATTTTCTTCTTTCCTACCTATATTTCATTCCCCACAGGGTTTGTTCCAAACCTTGTCTGTCTTCAAATATCCCAGACCACTCTTACTGAAGCTTAAGATTACATTAGCTTTTTAGGGGTGCTAAATCATACAGGTGCCTCATTGAATTGTGTGACTCCGGGCAAGTCACTTCACCATTTGTCTCAGTTTCCTCATGTGTAAAATAAGGTGGAGAAGGAAATGGCAAATCACTCCAGTATACTCTGCCAAGAAAACCCCAAATGGAGTCATAAAGCATTGGACACAACTAAAAACAACAAAATCTAATACAAATCCCTGACTTTACTCATTTCTTTCTAAAATATCCCCATCTAAGATTTTGAATGAAATGCTGCTAGCTACAATTTGGACCTTTCTTATTTTCTGGCTTTAGTGACAGATCTCTAATAATCACCAACAGCAAGGAACATCGTAGAATCTCAAAATGTGAAAGGAACTCAGAGACTATATAGTTGTTCATAAGAATCTCTTCTACATCATCTACAAATCATCAACCAACCTATGCCTAATGACCTCCAGTGAGAAGGAACCTACCTGTAAAGTCCTAATTCTTAGGAAGGTTTTCTTTGTATCAATTCCAAATCTGCCTCTCTGTAAATTCCAAATGTTAACTCTAGTTTAATATAACAAATATTTATTAAGGGCCTATTGTGTGTGTGAAGCTAACCATAAACTGCTGGAGATAAAGGCAAAAGTGAAAATACACCCTGTCCTCAAGGAGCTTACATTCTACTAGGGGCAGGAGTGGGGCATTCATTACACAGAGAAATAAGTATAATGTAGGCAAAATGAATACGAAGGTCTTTTTTGGAAGGGGAGTGCTAATAACTGGAAGGAGTCAGGAAAGGTTCTGGGTAGAAAGTAGCACTTGAGATGAGCCTGAAATGGAACCAGGTGTATGTAAGGAAGGGGATGTTCCCAAATCAGGGACAGTATGTCTAAAAGAACAGAGATGATAGTACCAACACTGAAGAGGAGGCTATGTATGGATGATGTCAAATAGGAATGGGTGAGGAAGAAGATGGAAAGACAGTTTCAACTAGACTGTGGAGAGCTTTAAATACTACTAATAGAAGAGTTTGTATTTTATACCTGAGGCAGTAGGGAGCTACTGAGACTTCTTGAGGAGGGGGGTGACACGGCCAGCCACAGGATTTCTGGGGACAAGTAGAACAAATCTAATTTCTCTTTTCCCAATTCCACATGAGAGTCTCCCAAATAACATGGTTTCCCTTTGAGCTAAATGTACCTAATTCTTTGAAATGATCCTTATAAGGCACGAATGAAGTCCTCTCACCATCACAGGACTCTTTTCACTCAATATAACTACCCTAGACACATGTACACATATAAACACACAACAAAATAGTTTTTTTAAAACTGTATTAACATTTATCATCAGTCTCATATCACTCTGGGCTTTAGAGCTCCTGAAAATATTTTCCCCTATTTTACACATATCTTTAAAAAAGAAATCTGAGTTTCATTGATGAGTTCCCTATGTATCCACATTAGTCTTTAGGCAGCAACTCCCCCTTTTCCTTCTCATTAGGGGAAAGGAAAAAATATTTACATAGTGCCTACCATGTGCCAGGTACTGTGCTGAATGCTTTATAAATATTACATTCGTTTGTTTGCATCTTCAGAATTTCATTCTTGAGAACTTCCCATTCCTTTTCGGCCAACTTCTCTGAAGACTCTCAGGCCAGTCGATCCTACCTATCACTTCTTTGAATGCTCTCAAATCTGTTCTTGGATAATCAAGGGCATATACCAGACTTTTAGTTCTCATTTTCTTTTTTTTCACAAATCAATCAATAAACATTTATTAAGCACTTACTATGTGTCAGGCATTTGTGTTAACATAAAGGTACAATCATTTACCCTAAAGCTTCCATCACCTCCTTGTTTGTCAGAATCAGGTCTTTGAAAAAAGAAAAAATACATCTTTAAGTATCACAAATGTCCTATTTGGCAGAGAGCTTCAGCAGATGTCCAGATAGCGGAAATCACTCATCACTTCAATATTATCCCTCCACGACAGTTTTGTGATGTTTCCTTAGTTCCTTGTCAATTTCCTTCCTTTGCACAGGTGGTGACCAATATCACTTCTGTTTTCTCCTCCAATGATCCTTACGTAACATGTTCTGGCAAGAACGTGGGTTCAGGGACTTTATCATATTAGCCTATCTTGACAAAGGAATTCAGAGAACATGAACCCCCACTCAATGCATGACTCTGAATCTTAACATATGATGCTACTCCACCACCTATATTTTGTTCCTTCTGAATATTCCTTTCTCCTGAGTCTCAGTGACAGTATGATATTTGCCTCCTTGCTTTAGGATCTCTGGTTCACCCTGTTAATTCAGCATACTTTATGCACTTGTAAAAGATACCTACTGCCATGCTCTCTTCTATGAAATTACCCACCATAAATTGCCAGGCCTTTTCTCCTGTTCATTGTTATTCTTCACATGTTGTACTTGCTACTTGCTTATGTTACCAAACTTGGCAGACCTACACAGGTATTTTTCAGCCTCTCTCTTCCTTTCCCTTTTTGGTTTAAACTCTTTTTGACTTACTAGATTCTGGGAAAATTATATATGCTTATATGTACAGATGTGTATATGTATATACTCATATGTATGCATGTATGTACATAGGTTTTTTTTAACGAGCCCTACCAAGACATTATCTCTGGCTGGGAGCCCAACATCTATATTCTAGGCCATGGTCCAGAAATCCAAT